TCTGAGCGGAATCCAGATTCAGGGCGACCGTCGTAAAGCGACGCCCGTACAGAAATACAAAATTAACATCGTAAGGAATTTGGTTGATCGGGCGATTCTTTTGTCCGACGCGCGGTTTCACAATTCTAATATTAGTGAAATAAAAAAGATTCATATTAATAATTGTTACCCGAAGAAAATTGTTGATAAATATGTCAATGTCCGACTTGGCGAATTGCGAAATCGTAACAACAATGATCCTGTCAGTAGCGAAGTGGCCCAAGATCCTCGAAGGTGCATTACTGTACCTTACATAAAGGGCCTTAGCGAGAATGTTAGCCGTACAATGCGAGACATGAACTTTAGAGTTCTTCACACCATCCCGAAGAGATTGGATTGTGTCATTAGGAAGGGTAAGGACGCGTTGCCGAGTCTCAGTCAGACTGAGTTAGTTTATAAGATTGATTGTGCAAATTGTGATGCGGTATATATTGGCCAGACAAAAAGGCATTTAGAAACACGCATCAAAGAACATCGATGTGATATTAGGAAAAATGTAGATAATCATTCTGTTGTGAGCAAACATCGCCTTACACACAATCATGATTTCAAGTGGCAACATCCGAAAATTTTATACAAAGAAAAACATTTCAAAAAAAGAGAAATATCGGAAATGTTTTTCATTAAAAAACATGATTGCACAGTCAATTTACAAAACGATACTGAGAGCCTGCCATCTATTTATAACCGGGTCATAGGTATCACTTAGTCGGCCCTGTATATTCGGTTCTGCTCGTTTTTCCATCAGAGCGCCGTTTGCTATCCGCGGATTACGTTTGACAACTTCATTTCGACTTTGACTGTCTTACTGTTCGGACGTTGTGCCTCGATATGGCTGGTGACGTTTTGATTTCACCGTTTGTTTTGGAACGCATAAGAATTGTAAGCTTTAACTAATTTTTACAGTGTTAATTAATTTTATTGTTTTTGACCAGCGTGATATTGTAACGATTTTGTATAGTTTTTCTATTGTTAAATGTATTATTTTCTCTTTTGTTTAGTTTTGCGGTTGTCTTGACGTTGTCAGGACACCACGTCAACGATGCAATTTGTAATGCGGATCGGTGTAACTTAAATTAATAGCACTTGATAAGGACCGGAATTCGGTCGAAACGTCGTGCAATATTGTTTTAATTGGCCAGTTGGGTCGAAAATAAAACGACTTATTTTGAATTATTTGCTGGCGACGGAAATTGTTTTGTTTAATAAAATTTCATAAAAATTTGAAAAAGTAAATTAAAAAAAGCAATTAAAAAATACCGTAACACTCAAATTAATAATAATTAAAACGAGTTTGTATGATTTGAATATCGACGTCATTATTTTTTAGCATTTTTCGAATATACAGCCGCCATATTGGGTTTCGTTATATTCAAATACGACGTCCCAATTGTTAATTTATGATCAACATTTTAAAATGTATCATGATATAAATTTTCGTGAAAATTGAACGCAGTTTGTATGTTTTAAAGAACGAAATAGTTATTTTTTAGCATTTCACAGATAATTTGGCCGCCATATTGGTTTTGGACAAACTAAAAATTTATTTTTTTCATGGATTCAATGCTAACTACTAAATAAACACATTAACACATTTTTCTATGACAGTCTATAACTTCCAAGTAACGATTTCATCTGTCGTACCTCGTTACCCGCAGACTTCGGCCACCATATTAAGGTCCACCATGTTGATTTTTCAAAAGGCCACAGCTCAACTAAAACTACATATGTGTAGCTATAAAATGAGCTCCAAAAAAATTTTTTAGGTGACCCCAATTTTTGGACAGGGGGATGTCTGATTTCACGGAGAATGCCCCATATCCGAAAAATATCAATTATTTACATTAAATTTACAAAATTGATGATAAAACCACAAAAAATGTCATATTAAATCGAAAAGTTGACATTTTAAAAATTTCATAACTCGGAAACCACTTCTATTCCAAAAATGAAATTTTCATGGTTGTTTAAGGATATAATGAAGTATATTCCCTGAAAATTTCAAAGGATTTCGAGTTGAAAGAAAACAGTTCTGGCTATCTGAAAATGGCGATTTTTCGAAAATTGATCGGCTTTAGATGGCCATAACTTAATGAAATAGAAGCAATCAAGTAAAAAATGGGTAGATTTCTTCAGAGTATACCTGAACAAAAAATATCAGCTGCTGATCAACCCTCTACTTCGAAAACTGTAGATATGACAGCATTTCAAAAATAGGTAAAATTTCTCTAAAACAGTGGTTTAGTTAGCAGCTCGCCGTGAAGCCGGACTTGAGTGTAAACCAATGACCAATTTTTTCCTTAAAAGTAGAAGGTTTACAGAAAAGAATGCGGCCTCAAACGAGTCTCTAAGTTATATAAAAGCTGAGATATAAATTTTTGAAAATGACTGAAAAATCGACTTTTTTCAAAATTAAAAAAATTCTCCAGCGGCCGGATTTGATCGAATCGGGCTCAAATTTTCAGGATCATCTCCTTTTCTAGTGTACTTTCGAGGAAAAAATCGGCATCAAAATCGGTGACCCACCCCCGCAACTTTTGGTCGAAAAGTAATGGATCTGCC